ATGTAACTTTTATCATTTTTATTATTTTAAAAGTATATTTTATAAAAGTTAAAGTTATTTATATTTTTACAAAAATATTTAGTTTTTGAAAAAATATTTGGCTTTTAATTTCTTCTTTTTTTAGAAGTTAAAATTTTTAGTTTCTGAAAAGAAAAAAAAATTTGATTTTTTTTGTGACTTTTTTTTTTTTTTTTAAACAGACATCCAAAAAAAAAAAAAATAAGATGTGCTTTTTTTCTTGAAAAAAATAGCTTTTGAAGAAAAAAAAAATTCATTCAAACAAGCCCTTAAAGGAACGATAGAATCTAGGGAGTAGTCTACAGGAACTTTACAGATGCCCGGGAATTTGCGATGAGGCCAAAATGAATGGTGGAATTTGCCTCCTTTTTTCTTTTTTAGCAATGATGGGACATCTCGCTAACTGATCGTTAGAATAATAAGCACAATTCATTCAGTCTAGTAGGGGTGAAGAGAAAGTAAGGTAGACGTTGATAGCTAATCTGATGCTGTTTCCTATTTTTGTGTTTTCCTACCTACCTATGTCGAAATGTGTTTGTGGAGTTTGTGTCGGAAACAACAAAGAGAAAGTAAGGTAGAAGTTGATAGCTAATCTGATGCTGTTTCCTGTTTTTGTGTTTTCCTCTTACCTACCTACCTACGTCGAAATGTGCTGCGGAGTTTGTGTGGCAAACAACATTAATCGAATGTTTGTGTGGCAAACAACATTAATCGAATCTTATCAAATATTTCCACCCTTTTACTTTTTCTCTGCTTTCGAGGATATCTTAACCTCCCTTAATATGATGCAGAACAGCGATCAGAATGTCATTTTTTCTTAAAATATTTTCTTAAATACAATGCGAGTAGTACAATTTTCTAAGTAGCGAGTTTACTTTGTCAATGTGTCATGTTTTTGGTGGTCATATAACTAGTTATGGGTAGTAGCGAGTTAGGTAATTAAAGTGTCAGTCTTCTATGAGTAAAAGTATGACACGTGAAAGGCTGTGACAAATTCGCTAGGGGTGTAGCTAGCAAGTTAAGTGTGAGTAACTCATTACCCTTTATTTTGACGTTTAATTTTTAAAACAAAAAAACATAGAAAACTTCATAAATATTTTATAAAACAATTTTAAGGAAAAAAAAAACTATATCATAATCATGCTGATCCCTATTCTCTCGAGACACTGGACAAGTGGAACCAGTATTTTTACGCCTACCATATCAATCAAAGCTAATAAATAAAATAGTTGTGATGTTTTCCTTCTTCCTCACGCTCAAATTTATTTTGGGCCTAGCCCACTAATAACATAATGCACAAGACCTGATGAAGCGGACCTCGAAAGAGCATTTATTTGCTGATCATTTCCTTGCTTGTATATGCTACAAAGCATTTGAATACTCTCATGTTAAAAGAAATATATATAATATGGTTATGTGAGGAATCATAATCATACAAAAAGTGAATCAATGGTGATAAAAAAAGAGAAAAAAATATATTGAAATATGTAATTACAAACATGACCATATCATATTTTTTTTAATATGAGATGATCCATTTCCATATAAAAAGGTTTACTTACGCCACAAATAGAAACAATAGCATGTTTCTGGGTTGTACTTTCTCAATTCGTTTTGCCATTGCTTGATCATGATCTCAATTTATTCCTGCTACTCTTCATAGTAGCCATCGAAACCATTCGGGTGTAATTTATGACTAAAAGGAATGTTTTTCAAGGAATATGCCAATTGCTTCATCGTGATCTCAACTTATTCTTGATCTTCAATTCTAACCACCGATTGCATCTGTGTACTGAATACCTGAAAGAAATGTCTTTGAGTAACAATTTTAATTATTGCAAAAATTTAAATTTTTGGGACAAAGCACATAAATGATTTTATATCTTCTTTTTTTTTTGGAGTTACCCAACCCTAATTATCTTTTTGAGACGAGTTGGCTCCCTCCAGTATCCCCACGAGCTTCGACTCTTTGAGCCGGCTATGGGACTAATCCGGAGTGCGGGGGAACAGTGATGGCTAAAGGTTCAGCCCCCTCCCCAGGAATGCATTCAGCGGGAATCGAACACATATCCAACCCCACTAACTCAGCGCCAAATTACCAACTGAGTTGCACCCATTGGGTATGATTTTATATCTAATGGGATACCACATTTTTAATTTATATATATATATATATATATATATATATATATATATATATATATATTGATTTATAATTCAGTAATTTACTTTTCTACCATTTATGTTGTTACATATTAAAACTATATATATATATATATATATATATATATATATATATATATATATATATATATGTGTTGGTAAACATATTTGTATATATATCCTAATTTATATTTAAGCAAATTAGAATTGTGCAATTTATCATTATTGTACATAGTAACATATATGTAATAAATATTTTCTTTTCTTTTTGCATTTCATTATATTGATATGTTATGTCTTTAATTTTTATGTAAATTATCACGGTAAATTTTGTACGGTAAAAATTCTTATAACTTATATTTGGTTAAGTTTAACATGGTGATGTGATTGTTTTTGCTTTTATTTTGATGTCAAATTTAAGTAATTGTATGTTATGATTCACATTTTTTTATGGGATCATTTTTAGAGGTATCCACATGTTTGTCTGCCTAAAGAGCTTATGAGATTCCTTATAAAAGGTAATTTAAATTGTACGTGGTCACGAAACTGAGTTTCTTAAGTTAAGGAACAGATTCCTTACAAAAGATAAGGTAGGGAGACGCCCTTGCAAACTATAGAACTCTAATAAATAGAAATATCCATGCTTATGAAAATGGAAGGGGACGCCCTTGAAAATTATAAAGCTCTAATAAATAGAAAAGTTCATACTTATGAAGAAATATTATTAGCCAATAGAGTTTACATTTTTATTTAGTTCTAAAGTTTTGTGCTAGTCCGTAATTATATTTTGGTTGAAGTATTTGTTTTTTATAACAATTACTTAATACCTATGTTGATTTAATTGTTTATACTTTGACGTTCTGGAATAATTCCATTTTAGTAAAACTTATATTCCAATCTTTTGTATAATATACGTTTATAATTAGGGTTCAAAATCTATATGTGTGTAACGTTTCTCGATTAATAATAGAAGGATGTTACATATTAGTTATGTAAATTATTAGATATAAGTGGATAAGAATAAATGTAAGACTTTTCATTCTTAAATCGAGATAAAAATAACCTATTAATTATGTTAAAATTTAAATTATTAGATGAAAATACAAAAATGGTTTTATATTTAACGGGTTTTATCTCCACCAAGGATAAGATCAGGTGAGAATCGGGATGTTTTCGATCAACTACCCATATGGGCAAGTGTTAAAGTGAAGTTTCAATTTTGTGTGGACTTGAAGAAATTAAAAATGAAAAAATTCACTTTGCTATATAACGAAGAAGAATGTGGAGGAATGGGGAAAAATTATTCTTGTTATTCTTAATTGTAGCCATCGAAATTATGTGTGCGTACTTTACGACTAAAAGTTTTTTCAAGGAACATGCTACTGCTTGATCATGATCTCAATTTATTCTTAATCTTCAATTCTAGCCATCGAAATTAGCATTTGTTTATTCTGAATGACCGAAAGGGATGTCTTTAATTTGAGGAACAATTTCAATTAAAGCAAAATTTTAAATGTTAGGCAAAAATACATAAATTATTTTATATCAATACATCTTTTTATAAAAGAGTTATTTGAAAGTCTGGATAATACACAAACTTATCTTATCTTGCGTCAAAATTTAACTTATTTAAAAAAAATAAAAACTAGCATTCATGGTCAATATGGTAGTTGTTGCTTGTTGGAGGCTAACACCATAATGGTCCTGGTTCGAATGCTGGTAGAGAAAAAAGAAAAGAAAAGAAATAAAAAGGGACTAGCTCTAAATAATATGATCATAAAGGTTTTCAACTATTCTAAAAAATTAAGTTATTTAGTGAAAATATATAAAATGGTTTTAATTGAATGAGTTCTATCTCCATTAAGTGATTAGACGGGGGATAGGACATGAATCTAGGTATTTTCAATGAACAACGCAATCCACAAGTTTTAGAGAGTGAAGTTTCAATTTTACGTGGACATGAAAAATTAAAAAAATGTAAAAACTTCACTTTATCATATAAAGAAGAAGAAAGTTTAGAGGAATGGGGGAAAAAAAATTAAAAGGACAAGTAAGACACGCACGTGAGAGGAGATTTAACTTTACATTTAGGAAATTATTTAAGTTTAATTTGAGTTGGTTACCATCATTTTACTAAAATATCTATAGTAAAGAAAATGGACCCCACTATAATTTATATATGATGCAGGAAAATGGGGAACAGTGACCATTTTGTCACTGTTGGCCAAAAAAATTATCAGACTGTTACGCCAACAGTAAATTTTGCCAAAATATCTTGTGTCATATTTCGCTACACTGTGTAGCGAAATATGTGTGCAAATAATTCGCTACACAGTGTAGCGAAATATGCCACGTTAGAACCAAAAAGGCCGCGTGTCAAAATTGTAGAAATTCGCTACCCTATGTAGCGAATTTCTTCAATTTTGACACATGGCATTTTTGATTCTGCGCAGTCTGACGTGGCATATTTAGTTACACTGTGTAGCGAATTATTTGCACACATATTTCTCTACACAGTCTAGCGAAATATGCCACGTGGCATTTTGACAAAATGTACTGTTGACGTGACAGTCTGGTAATTTTTTTAGCCAAAAATAACACTTTGGTCACTAATCCGGAAAATGGTCCTGGCCACACAATAGGCCAGTTTCTATTAATTGCATGGATGCTTCATGTATCGATCTTATTGTGGTGTAATATGTCTTCCTCTGTTGGTCCACATAAAACTATTATTCTCTATATAAATACCCTATTGCTGAGCTACACTTTGCACACCTTAGTCTTCTCTCTATTTCCTTGGGTCTCAAACTTGAAGCACAATGGTGAAGATTAAGGGCATATGCAATATATTGGAAGGGTTGAAACCAGCCATGCTAATGGTGTTTGTGCAGATTGCATATGCTGCGGTGAATGTGCTTTACAAGCTCGCCATAAATGATGGAATGAGCATGAGAGTAGCTACTGCTTATCGCCTCACTTTTGCAGCGGCTTTCACTATCCCTCTTGCTCTTATCTATGATAGGTCCATGATTGCCCTGCTTCTACTCTTGTCATTACTTACCCGACTTTTGTTTTGGAAATATTTTTTCTCTCATGTGAATTTTTATATGAATTTTTTCAGTTTTTTGCAATTATCTTTTTTGTCTCAATTCGAAGTGTTGATATATGGTCAGGCTTTTGTTACCTTATGCTTAAATTTTACTTAATTGGGACAATAATGATTGAACTCTAAACCACTTACTAATAAACTGTGATATCATAAACTTAAGCAATTGGAAAGAAGTAGATGAATAATTTTATTATATCTCTTAACATTTATCACATTAGTTCGTGGTTGGTTTTGTTCAAAATATTTGGTGCCATATATATAAATTTTTTTTTTTAACATTTTCAACGACCAATAAATTATTTTTTGGAAAACAT